ACATTTTCCCAGCACACTACCCTGCTTCTCTGGCTGACCTCTAAGGTTAGGACCTCTGGATATAAGCTCATGAAAGATAGCAATAAGGCAAATTCAGCTGCCTTGAGGCTCACAAAAATGCAGTTTTTCATTTCAAATGGACCCCGAAAATCCCAATGGCCACATACAAACCATTCCTAGTCTATGAGGTTAATGCAACAGACCTGCCATCATCAGGCCAAGCACTCTGAACTGCTCTTTCTCATGAAAGGTTCCCCTACTCATGAGAACTACGCATGTGAGAGAGGCCAGCGGAGGTCAGGGCTGAGGTCCTTGGGCCTGAAGAGCTGCCCTGTGCAAAGCCAGATGTATCATACAGGGATCAACCTAGGACTCCCACATCAACTTTCTTTTCTGCTTGCAAAATGCCTAAGGATTTAACTAGGGGAGCACAGTCCACTCCCATACAACCCATCAGACGAGCCATGTCCCCTATTTCCCATGCCATCCATATGCACCCAGAACTCACTCTTCACTGTTTATCAACATTTCAATCATCCCATATTACTCACAGGTCAAAATTAACCAGCAGAGTGAGAAGACTTCAGGACATCTCTGAACAAGGTTCTTCCTGCTAAAGTATCTCTTCTTGCTGATCTGGAAAATGCTGCTTCTAACTTTCCTCATACAAACTACATTCAGAATTCCACAAAACATAAAGTCAAATATGCTCTAACATAATGTACCAAGGTGAGGTGCTTTATGAAATAATCAGTCTTCTGACATTCTTCTCCCTTTCTTCCATCTCCAGCAAGCTTATCCTGTAATTTAATGGGCTACAACAAGGATCCACCAGAGAGGAGGACACTATCATGGGAAACCAGCCAGAATTACTTAGAATCCAACAGAAAACTAGTTAAAATTGTTAGCTGAAATGGAAAACCATTTTCCCTGTCTAAAAAGTTCTGATTTAGTTTTTACTCAGCCATCAAAAATTTATTTTCCTGATCTTCACATTTTGCATCTCCCATTTAAAAAGCAACTTTCTTTCTTTCTATCTCGATAAAGTTTGAATCTCACTTATTTTAGATTCAACAAAACTTTCACCCGCAAGCCTATGTGCTGAGCAATGCACAGTCAACTCATTCTATGATCCAGAGATTTATCAGTTTACAGATGAAGGAACAGGGGTTCCATTAAGTCCAATGACTTTCCTGCTTTCAAAGACCTTGTAGGTGGGCATCACTGGAGTTTCCAAACCTATGCTTTCAGTGGGAACTCCAGGTAAAATATTTCCCCATTATTGCTTAAATCTGGCTTTATCCATCTGGAATCTTACTCAAGATAAGTTGCATGGCTTGGGGAGGGCTTTCTGCTACAGGTAACCTCAGCTTGGGATCAAGGAGTATAAGCAATTTGCAGAAGGATGAATATAGCTATTGCACATTGCAAACAACCTTCATGGGGGACCTTCTCCCTGGGTTCAAATAACCAAAAATTAATTCCTCCTGGTTTATAGATTTAGTTCAAAGGTTCACAATTAACATTATGTCAAGTTTTATTCCTTTATGTCATTTCTATTCTCTAATCACTACACTGTTAGCTGAGAGGGTCAGAGCACACAATGAGCGAGGGAGGGCTAAGCCCTCTTTTCCATCCCTGTGCAGACCAACAGGCAGGCACCCCTACCCTCAGCTGGCCCTGCAGGTGCTGGTCACACTAGACACTAAGAAAGCTAGGAGTCGGGGCTTATAAGGGAAAAGAGGCAGGGCATTCTACAGCTAACACTGATACCAAGCAAAATACGATATATGTTGACATGACAACTATAGCTAACTACCATATCATTTCAGAATTTCAAGGCATAACCATTCACAAAACATAAATGTTATATGAAAACCTACCAAAACATAATGTATCTCTATAACCAAAGGGGGGCAAAAAGCCCTCATTAGTGTCCCTTCCAGGAAGTCAAACATGTTCTGTTTGCCTGTTTGCTTGCTTGCTCTCTTGTTACTCTGCACATCCTATCTCTCATGAACACAAGGGACACGCCTATTCTTTTCTGTAGAAACCTCCAGGCCAGAAACTTTATCTCTGGTGGCTTTTAAATGCTAAGGTGTTTTACAAAACATTACACTGAAATTCTGATAGTCAAAACTGCACCTATACTGTGGTGAAAATTCACTGCCTTGCTCACCTAAAATATTATACTGGAGATATCAAAAATACTCCCAGGACTTCAGAAACAGTAGTAGGTCTCAGTTCCAATTTGTGACATATGAGGAGGAACCCCAAACCCAAATGAGGATAAACAGGAGAACATTTCAGGGACCAGAGACGTTTGCAAATTAGTTACTGCCCTCAGCTGAACCACAGATGGTTTGCTGATGGAAAGAAAGACTAACAAAATGAGGCCTGAAGCGTTAAAAGGTCAGAGCAGTTAAGAATGGATAAGAAATACATTTGGCCCTTACAGTGCAATGATATTGCAGGTGTGAACTCAATTTATGGCCCCCAAGACTTAGCATAGGGTTACTCTCCTTTGATCTACAAAGGAAATGCTTTACACTGTAAGAATAGCTGATCTCTTTACACTGCTTATGGCTTCAGTTCAAGGGGTAGCCTCAGTAAGCTCTGTAAGCCCTAAATTTCCTCACTGGCCTTGTAAAACCACCATAAATAGTGTTTGGTGTAGTTTGTATGTAAACTTATTTAGCATTACTTTTTAAATAAAAAGTCATGGTAGAGGCTCTTTGTAAAAAGTCAGGAGAGGCTGCAGGACACGGTACTATTTGCTTGTATAAAAGTGGGTTCGGTGACAAAAGCTCCCCTCCCACTCTGCCAAGTTCTGCAATATCTAAGTTCTATGTAATGAGTTCATTTAGATACAGGTCTTTTGGTTCTTGCAAATCATGAAGCTTCTTAGATTCAAGAAGTTCAGGTCTGTTTGAATTAAGAGATGTTTGCGTCCAGTCTACTGAGACACTAGATCAGAATTCAGGGAGACAGGGCTTTTGCTTTCTTCTTCCTTCCTTCCATGGGATGGAGGGAGTCTCTAAAAGGCAGGATTCAGGCAGGAATAGGCCTGGACCAGAGAGACTTAGGTCTGAGTCACAGCTGGGTGACCCTGTGCACGTCAACTTCTCCAGTCTTGGTTTCCTCTTTGCTGTATGTGAAGTAATATCCACCAAAAATGTTTGTTTGTTGTTGTTGTTGTTTGTTTTAGATTATGAAAGCACTGTATGTTCAAGAACTTATTCTTCCAAATATGCCTGGTATATGGGAGATGCTGAACATTAGCTGAACCCAAGAGATGTGTCTCTGGAAAGATTAGCATAACTACTTTCAGTGTTAGCCTTCCCAGTTACACCCGGAGTCACATGCAGTAGCCAACTTTAAACTCATAAAAAGTCTTGAACAGACTCAGTGTTTTCTACCAGTGACAAAAGAAGCCAGCAGAATCCTAACTAACCATTTGAATTGAACTCTCCTGAAGATGACAGTCACTCAGGCAACAAAAGCTGGCTGGCTTCCCTGACTTCCTTCCAGGTGTGGGGTAGGGGGTGGATACAGACTGTGCCACCCTTCCCCAGGTCTCAGTCCTCCACAGGACTGGCTTCTCTAGAACGTGCCCTCCTTCTGGACCAGCAAACTCTAAGACCTCGTGCTCCTGCTCCTCTGAACCCCCCAGCACTCCCCAGCTCTTTCTAGATGAGGGACAGCAGCTCTGCCTCCCCTCTCTCCTGCGGAGTCCCCGGGCTGCAGGGCTCACATTCCTGGACATGGAGCTCAGTGGCATCAGAAATGGCTTGTGCTCTCTTGCTCTGGTGGCATCAGCTGGCCCCTCCTCCCGCTTCACCCTAGCAGGACGCATGCACCCCCAGGAGTCCCAGAAGCGCTTCTGCTTCGAGGGTGCCCCCACCCCCAGCAGTCTCCCCAGGGTCAGGCCAGGGCCTCCTCCTCTAGCCAGTCCTGGGGGAGCGACTGGGAGGGGTGAGTATTTGGGGGGGGGATACACTTTCTGGAAGCCGCTTACACAGATCTCTCAGAGCACCCCATTTCTTGCAGGAAAGAGAGAGAGGAAGCCAAGATCATTTAGCCCAGAGGTACCTCCAAATCTGTTACGCTAACAATCATCCCCACAACACCATCCAATTCACTGTCCCCCAGCTGGGCAGCTCTGAAGAAAGCCCTGGAGAGGTTCCCCACAACAAAACCCGCGCCCCTGCTGCACGCCCAACTCTCGCCCCGCGCCACCTCCAGGCTCTGCACAAACATCTCCGCGGAAGACTCGCCGTTTTCCCGGAGCAGAGCCCGGCCGGCAGGTCTTGGACGTTCCCCACCTCCCCTTGCGACCCCCTCTCCGGGAGCCCACGAGCAGATTCCGCACAGGAGGCCAAGGAGCCGTGAGGGCTCCCCCAAAATCTGCGCTCACGCCGCCTTTCTCTCCCTCCACCTCGGTCCTTTCTTCCAGCTCCAGTGCCCGCGCCGCCCGCGCCTCCCGCGCCCAGCATCTCTTCTGCTCAGGAAGAGGAAACTTCATTCTGGGCTCCGCTCAGGTCCGAGCAGGAACGGCTTTCCCTTCCCCGCCTCCCTCTAACTCCGACTCTCAGAAACCGCAAGGAGCCGGCACCAGGGACGTGCGTACCCCCTGCCCCCCAAAACCTCAGGCTACTAGTGCTCCCGGACTTTCCACGTTAAAAGGTCCGGTCGGGTCTGAAACCCCCATGGGGGTGGGTGCACATTCGTGATTTTTCCAGAGATCCTACCTGTCCCTCGTGGCTTGCAAGAAACTAGTAAGCAAAACGCAAGCCCCAGCAACTTTGGGGAGTGAGTGTCTAGACGGGTGTGTAAGAGAACGAGAGAGGAGGGGAGACAGAGCATCGCTCAAGAGTTAGAACGGCTGCAAGAGCACATCTGGAAGAGGGGGAAGGGGGCCTGGCGAGAAGGGGACAAGAAGCGCGACGTCGAAGGGGAACCGTCCCCCCCGTCCCGGGGCCGGGGCCGCGGGTGGTTACCTGTCCTATGTTGACGAAGCCGTACTTGCTGGCAATGCGGTTGGCCTCCGGGAAGCCGCCGGCGATTTTGACCGCCCAGTGGTTGGTGTAGACGCGCGTCCGGCACACGGGGAGCAGGCAGCCCCCGAGCAGCGCCAGCACGCACAGCAGGTCCAGCCGTCCCGGGCAGCAGCAGCGGCTCCCCCAGCCCATGGCCGCGGAGCTCCGCCGCCTCCCTCGCTCGCTAGCTCCGCGCACCAAGCGGCGCGCGCACAACTAACTTCGGCCTGGGCCGCCCCGGCTCGCAGCCCTGGGA